AGAATACAAGAATTCTTTCTAGAGAATTTACTCATCTGCATCCTATCCACTTTCATAAACAGAACACTGTATGAATGCTTGTCAATGTAACTTTCCCATTTCTCTTGATTATATACTCTAGAATTTATGGTTCAGTTTTCTTCCTATGTGATCATATGGCATTCAAAATGGTCTGAACATTGAAAAATTATCTTTAATCCTTTATTGCAGTAATGAAACATGACCATGGATATTTTTATTATCCTCTACCATCACTTTCAGTTTTCAAAGTCTGTGCTACTTAATTTACAATGCAATATAAGAGTTTGTCTATACAACCAACAACTGGATTGTCAACTAATGGTCAGCAGTGTGTAAATCCAATGATACAGTACTTGGAGTTGAATCTGGCCTAATCATCATTTTCAGAGTGATAATTTCATTACTATTTTAGAGAATTCACTATCATACTTACCAAGAGAAAAAAGCAAGTGTGTTTCCATTCCATCTCTATCCACATTCTTACTGCTAAATACGAGGAAATCTTTGGTTATAACCATGGGTTTAAATATATTTTCTCCTTCATCTGTAATAATAAAGGATATATTTCAAAACTCGGTGTCATTCATATTTCATTTTGTTTAAGAGCTGCTTGCTAAACATTAATATTGTCCCTGCCTCTAGAAGTCTTCTCTTTTAAATTATGATACGACATATATGTGCAAAGGATTTCCTGTACACATAAGTTTAACCCTTCAAATATGATTATGAATACTAAGTATAGATATTTTCCCTTTTATCTGAATTCTTTTTAGTCAAGACTTGTGGGAGGACTCTCTGGGGCATTCCTCCTCTTTTCAACTAGATCCCAAATTCTACTTGTCATTTCCAAAAAGCATAACACTTTCGTATCATACCATGGTGATATTTGGTGTGTAATTGTATATGTGAGCAAAAATAGTCCATACTAATTAGTATTATGCATGAACATTATCATCTTGTGATATTCAATATAGAAAAAGAGGTTATGATGAACAATTTCAATTTGCAAAACATTCATCATGTGTCTGCGAGTCTCTCTGGGTGTAGTTCTGTTTATCTCAGTGCGTGTACATATGTGTGTGCTTGTGTATGTGCATTTGTGACATATTTACACTTACATTTATTGAATAATGCATTTGGTCACAGCAAATAAACAGATTTTAGGATATGGTCACATTCGATTACTGCACTTTTTTAATGTAATGTTAAGCAAGAATAAGAATTACCAGAAGACTGTCCCCAGTTCACTTAATATCAAACTAAATGTCAAACTGTACATAATTTAGTTGAATAGTGTGGCAATTATTCTAGAAATTCTCACAAAATTGAAGTAGTCAATCTCACATTCTTAAACAGATTTTTCCACTTACTGCTTTTCAAAATTGATATTTATCATTCAAAAGTCTAAATATTATGATCTCTAGAAACTATGAGGAAAGGAAACACTGAAATAACACAACTAATTTGTATTTTCCATGAAACAAGGATGACAGATAATGTCTGTAATATTAGTACTTTATACCCTGAGGCATGAAATTTGCAAATACGATTGAGGCCACTGAGACCTATTAGAAAGTGGTAGTCCTGTCCAGTAACAAACAGACACTATATAAAATATAACTAAATATTAAGT